GAGGATTGGGGTGAGGATTGGGGTGAGGATTGGGGTGAGGATTGGGAGCCCGAGATACAATTGCTATGTTTCGGAGATTGCGGGATGGTCTGTCTGTTCCGCTCAGGATGTTTTGGTGTGACCTGAGCCCTTGGAGAATTACCTGGAATTTTGGGAATGCCGTGTCCTTTCTGGAGGGTGTATTCCGGCTGTAGGTGACCCCGCGGGATCGGGCCACTGCTCAGACGGTGTCTGTTCCTCGTGTCAGGGACATGTTCCTGTTGGATGGGATGGAGATTACAGTCGGAGTTGGAGATTGGCAAGGGGAGGAGGAGGGGAGGTGTGGGGGGTGGGGGGAGTGTTTGTTGTCCTGCCCATTCCCACACCCCACCCCCCACGCACCCCCACCCCACCCCACACACTCTCACATTCCCAGCCTGGGGCATAAGTCACTGAACCCTAATCTCACACACAATACAATCCCGGCTTTATCCTGAGCCAAGGGTCCCGGTCTGACCCGGCACAGGTCCTGAGGCCCATGTGCAGCGCACAGCAAGATCCCAGTATCACTGGGCGCCTGCATGTTCCAAAACCCAGGCACCACACACCCACCCCCCAACAACTGCTCCCACCTCCTCCTCCCACAGGCTACAGCTCCCTCTCATGTTGCCCTCAGTCTCTGTTCTTTGTGCAGGGGGTGGGGGTGTAGGAGAGGGGGTGGGGACCTATGTACAGCGAAGGACAAGGAGGGGGGATGTTGGTATCCATGTCTGGTTAGGTGTCTCCAACCCCAGCCCCTATATCCCCCTGACTAGGCCCTCCCCTCGGAGGTGGGGTCTGTAGGGAGCAGTGATGGGTGAGGGAGGGACAGGGAGGGTTCACAAGCCAAGAACAACCTGCCTGAATCTCTATAACACCCGATGGGCAGTAACACAGTCCAGAGAGACAGAGGGGACAACAGTGAGACAGACAGAGACAGAGGGAATGTGGGTGAGTGCCAAAAAGCCTTTGGAGGGGATTGCCTAAGCTCTCAGGGCCCTCCCCCACAGGCAACTGAAGGCTCAGCGCCAAACGACAGAGCAATGGGGATCAGGTGATACTCAAGAGGCCGGGATAGGAGAAAGTGACAGAATTGGGGGCGGGGTGGGGGGGGGGGG